ATTCCCATAGAAACAGCTGAGCACGCAGTAGAACTTTGTACGAACCGTTGGCCAATATTCATGGGAACAGCGATTCAGCACTTCATACCAAACCTATAAATTGCCATTCTCAGATGCCGGGACCACTCTTAGCTGCAACTTCGACCAGTCCAGTTATTAGTCATTTTAAATTCATTTAATTTTGTACTATTATTTAATATTTAATTTGTAACAAATAAAGTTTCTTTTTTAAAAAGTTAAATTCGTGATTAGTGATCTAACATATATATATATATATATAATATATATATATATATATATATATATATATAATATATATATATACTATATATATATAGATATATATATATATATATATATAATATATATTTATATATATATATATATATATATAACACTGTTTTTGATGGGTTGGAGTCAATAAAAGGGGCTATTTGTTGACTATTTTTTACTCGAGCTTTCAATTGTGATTACAATTTTTATCAAGAGCTTCTAAAAAATACAAAATGTCTTACAAAGTTGAACTAGGAAAAAAAATTTTTAATTTTTTATCCTAGTTTAACTTTGTAAGACATTTTGTATTTTTTAGAAGCTCTTGATAAAAATTGTAATCACAATTGAAAGCTCGAGTAAAAATAGTAACAAAAAAAAATTTTAATTTTTTAATCCTAGTTCAACTTTGTAAGACATTTTGTATTTTTAGAAGCTCTTGATAAAAATTGTAATCACAATTGAAAGCTCGAGTAAAAAATAGTCAACAAATAGCCCCTTTTATTGACTCCAACCCATCAAAAACAGTGTTATATTTTTTTCCAAACGAGTCACAAGTACTTCTTTTGTCTTACTCTTATATATATATATATATATATATATATATATATAGGTATATATATATATATATATATATATATATATATATATATATATATATATATATATATATATATATTTTACAAACGACATAAACGATTTATATTATAAATGACAAAAATGTTTTGTTTTTTGTCATGCATCAGTTCTTCTGCTTTTACTATTAATTTCGTTTTATAACATTTTAATTAATGATATAATTTTAATTAAGCTTAAATGATATACATGTTACGGTAAGACTGGATAATTGGTATTATATACAATTACCAGAGTTTACGATAAATGTAGGAAATTATTTTCAATTATCTACTTTTACTGAACCAGCGGTAAAAGTATAAAATAATGAAATAAAAACTAAAGGGTAAATTGATTTCGCTCTAGAAGCGGGAAATTTCATGGTTGATGTTTTAAGCAGTTTCTTCGCTTTCCTTTCAATACTGCCCTTTGCGCGTTTTCGTTCAATTGCAACAGAATCTTACCTCTCTGAAATTTGATAATAGCATTATATTCATCCACTGATGGTTGCTTAGGTTGTTCGGATTCTTGTGATAATAGAAGCTCATTTGGTTCATCCACTTCTGCTTCTTCATATTCTTCAGAATCCAGATCTGACTATGTTTCTTCTACTTGTTCCGTGAACGTTTCCAAATCTTCTTCAGTCGAAATATTTTCTAGAGCATCTTATGGCAGTGATAAAGTTTTTAACCAATTTTGGCAGGAACTCCAAATATAGGTTTGGAATAGGCAGGAACCCTCTAACCTCTTCTTTGTTTGATTGCATTTCAACCAGAAATTCAACATATTTTTGATGTCTTGATTTGCAATGTTCAACAGATACTTGTTATTGATAACAAATATAATTTCTAAACAAAATGTATATGTTCTTAATAAGGCTTTATGGATTAGACCTTTATGGATCTTGGACATATTCCTGAATAATAAAAACAATTAAAAAAGGGTCAATAAAATTTATGGAAAAGAATACATTAACATACTACCCCTTATTATTGTTTGGTATTTTAAGAAAGATTTCCTAAATGAAAATAGAAACGTCAAAATAAACTTAATTTAAAGTAAAATTGTGGCTTATTCCCAATAAAAATAGTAAAACATTGTATTAGATGTCATAAGAAAATAATTTCAGAACTTTATATATTTGATACATTATTTGTATGTTTTTCGTAAAATTAATTTTACTTATATTTTACTACATAGTTTAAAATGTTATTAAAATTTTTAAAAATTATTGAAAATGGATTTATAAATTTTCAGAACGTTTTTGATGCTATCAGATCATCATCAGTAAAACACGTACAAATAGATATAACCACAAATATTTAAATTCAGTTTTCATATTTTTAGAATTTCTTAATATAATTAAAGGTACTGTACCTACTTTTGTTCAAAACATACAGAATTTCTTGTATATAGGGACCCCCATTGAGTTATCAAACATTTACATATTTATTTTGAACAGAATTTGAATCCAATATGCCAATAATATTATTAACCAGCATTTTTGGTACTACTACATAGATTCCTCCCCCTTTCTGTCATATACTACATCCTTTTGTGATTACAACATATTTATTTAAATAATTACAATTTTTTAGCCCTTTCAGATCCTGTGTCCATTGCAATGGACATACATTTAAATAAGCCTTACAACAAAATTAAACTCTTGTAAATTGCTGACAACTACATATTTTTTATTTTGCATATCTCAGTTACTACTAGTCTTAAAATTTTCAGTTTAGTTTGAATCATAGCCGAGTTAAGTGCTTTTAAAGATAGTGTGACATAGCGAATTCACGATACCCCGGAAAGCGTAAGTAAATATCATGTTTTTTCAAGTCTAAAATTTATTATATGTTACCAAATATTATTTTATATAATAGTAGACATATCAATTTTTATACTGCTTATTCGACATAGATGATTTATTGTTGTTTTTTGTCGATATCAAACATTAAAATATGATGTCCATTGCAATGGACTACAGGTCTATGTTGATATTTTTGTTTTAGGTTTTAATCCGGATAATCCAAAAGACCAAGAGATTCTAAGGTTTTTTAGATGATGACGATGAATTTGAACAATTAGCTAATAATGTTTTATCTCAAATTGAAGATCAATGAGACATAGAAGATGTCTGTAATGAAGAAATTGATGCGGACATTCTGTTTAATTCTCAACTCTATAAGAAAAATATATACTCTGTTGGAACTATAAAAATTGACAGATTCCAGAAACCTCCATTTACAACAGATAAACAATTACAAAAAAAAGAACGGAGATATAGCGAAGAAGTGGTAAATGATAAAGGAACTGTGGTTTTATGCAAATGGCAAGATAATAAGTCTGTGCTTGTAGGTTCGAATTTTGTTGGAAAAGGAAAGAAGACTTAGTAGAAAGATGGGATAAGAAGCAAAAGAAAAAAATAACGATTCAGAGACCGCAAGCGATTCAATTATATAATAAATCGATGGGAGGTGTAGATTTACTAGATCAACTATTGTCATATAGAATCTTTATCAAGTCAAAAAAATGGACATTGCGTTTAATGCCTTTGATTTTGCTTGTGCCAATAGTTGACTAGAATATAACAGAGAGCAGCATAGTTTACTTTCCAAGGATTAAATGGATTTGTTGGATTTTAAAATACAAATTGCAGAGGGGCTAATTTAAGTGGGAAAACAAATAAAAAGAAGGATTCTTCGTCCCAAAATGTCAAATGAGAATTATCTCCTCACCCCAGAGTGGAAATTAGACCATTGAAGGAAATAAGGATGGATAAAATAGATCATTTATCCGAGTATGACAACAAAAAGGAACCATCCAGATGCAAAAATGTTGGGTGTAAAGGGAAAACGCATGTTTTTATGTTTTGTAAAGAACAAAAATTGTTTCAAATAGTTTCATTTAAATTAACTTAACATTTGCTTGATACAAATATACTATATTTAATAAAAATATCGTATGTGAATATTTTCCTAAATTCGTATTATAGTCCCAATGTCCATTGCAATGGACATTCTGTCAAACGACTACCTGTTAAACAAAAATATCAAAAATATGATTTTAGCCTATTACAATCTTCCATTAAGAAGATTCAATAGAAAAATAATTTTTTTTCTGCAGAGAAAAAGTCAGGTCTGAAAGGGATAATGTTCATGTACCATTTTACTTTTAAAACTCCACTTGTTCATACATGTTTATGAATTTAAACTTCTACATTTACTCACACATATTTAATATTATTTGAATTCAATCAGAATCTCTAATTTTTCAGTCATGTGTACAAAACCCTCATATTATCAACAGTATATTCTCCAAATTTAACATATCACTATTGATTATTTATAAAATCCTTATATTAATAAGTCAGTTTATTTATTGACGTTATTTCATGAAGGCAAATATTTATCTACGAAGGCGGTTGTGTTTATCTAATTTTAATTATTCATAATACAATTATTCCTTTTTTCAAGAACAAACAATTTTTTTTATTATATATCATCTAAAATTATAATATAAATTTAATTCTTAATAACACTCTTAATGGACATATACTATTTGATTATTTTTTTAAAAACTACCTACCTATCACTTGTCTTGAAAGTCTTGTTATTTCAAAACATTTTTTACTTCCTTCTGTCAACAGTTGGTTGTTACCTCTCAGGGCGTAAGGTTCTCTTTTTCGAGATGGGAAATTGTAAGTTCTCTTAAAAAACGTAATCCTTTATCTTCGATCTAGTGTCTTAATAATTATAATGCTGGTCATTCCAATTACGTAATTTAAGGGTCATCTGACCTTATTATGTGGCTAGTTCCAACTGGTTTATAGACGTAAACATTTCAATACAACAGTCAAAATTTTACCTTTTTGTTTTTACTTTTAAGTGGTTATACTTATTTGTAAGGTTTTTACTGATGATAATATTGGCGGGATTGAAAACGTTATGATAATTTAATAATCCATTTTTTATAACATTTTACAAAAAGAAGTTTTTATTTCATTTTTAAACTATGCTGTACAGTCAATCACTGGGAATATCCCTTTTAAAGTTTATAAATAAATTGTATAAATATAAATCTATGTTAATGTCTAATGTACATTATATTATTAGGAGTCTCATTACTCAAAAACGGAAATGGACAAAAGATGGAAAAGAGTTATGTTTAACTTTTCGCATAGTTCTAAATTTCCTCTAGTTATTACATTAAAGGTAGACCATGATGCGATATTAAGGTCTCAACCATCTATTAGTGAAGGTCTATGCGTATGTACTTCAGAATGTCTTAGAACAAACCGACCAAAGTAAGTAAACAATGATAGTTTTTGTTTTTTTTATTATCATAACGTTTAGTCAATTTTATATTGTTACACCTCTTTATTACTTTATTTGAAATACAACAAACAACATATATATTTTATAATAAGGATTACTCAATGACAACTATTCAAAACTCAAATTCTACAATACTACTGTCACAGAATAATAAACAATCAAAATGCCCACTCTCCATGGAAAATTAAGTACGCGCATCTCGTTTGCGCAGAAGTTCCGCCTTGTTTTAGAGGAAACCAGTGCTGTTCAGTGAAAATTTATATGGTGTGCATAGAAAAATTAACCCGGTCTAATTGACTTACGGCAATCATAGACATACTATGCAATTAGTTTAACAATAACATAAATATAATATAATTAAACATTAATATAAACAATTACATAACCTCACAAATTATTATGTCGATAAAGACCCATTACACCGGATTGTCAGTTGAACTGTCAAAGTTTGAATACGCATTTCAAAGTTTTCTGCGCATTTTTGTAATTTAAGTACAGTATATTTTACGAATTTGCGCTTATTTTGGATTAGAAATTAAAGCTTGGATAATTGTTATTCCAGGTTGGTTTTTTTTTGAAGTTTGATGGTGGAAGGTGGAAAAATACAAGTAAGAGCCCTACTAACATTTTCTTTGTGATCCTATTCCTTTACATATTTCTTAATCTTCTATATAGTCAAACCACATTTAAACGTTTTGGTAGATTTAAACTTTGTTAACGTTCGCCATTATGGAGGAAAAAATTCCTCCCGACCGGCCACCAGATCCCGACCCTAATATAAGTCAAAATCTGCCTAAAAAGAATGCTACAGAGAATGTAAACATTAAGGAAAAAAGTTTATATTCTGAATCAGATTTGGGGCCCTTTGAGGTCTTTGTTCAGGGTAAAAATAGTAATGTGGGTAACTATCATGTCCTAAGTATTGCTAAGACTATCTTTAATTTAAAACTGAAAGATATTTCTAAGTTTGATAGAAAGGGAAAAAATAGAGTTGGGGTAGTATTCAAGGACAGACAATCTGCCAATTCGTTTATCCTTAGGAAGGACTGGGAAGAATTAGGTTATGAGGTTTTCATTCCCACTCATCTTATCTCTTGTAAAGGTATTGTTAGGGGAGTTTTTAAATCTTTGTCAGAAGAGGAAATTAAAATGTCAACTTCTACTAATCTACCCTTTTGTAAAGTTATCTCTGTTAAAAGAATGAATAGAAGGGTTATGCAAAATAATTCAGAAACCACTTTCATCCCTACAGGTACTATTTGTTTAACTTTTTCTGGAAGGAATATCCCTAAAGAAATTGAAATTTATGGTCTGCCTATGAAGGTGATACCCTTTGTTAGTCCAGTTCTCCAATGTCATAATTGTCTTTTATATGGGCATTCTCTTTCTCAATGCAAGGGAAAAAACAGATGTGTTACATGTGGTACAAATCATGATTCTACCTCGTTTGTACGGTGCAGTAGATTTTGTATGTTCTGTAAAACAGCAGATCATGATTCTAGACATCCTGAATGTAAAGAAAGAAAAAGACAAAAGAGTATTAAAGAACTTATGTCATTTGCCAACTTATCATATTATGAAGCTAACCAAAACATTCCAAGGGAAACATCTAGCCCAAAGTTGAACATTAAGGATTTTCCTAATCTTGTAACTAATCCATCCTCTGCAAATAGTATTTCAATTCAAGAGAGGAGATCAGTTGCTACATCCCTGTCTTCAAATTCTGCTTCCTACAGTCAGATTACAAAATCTACTCCATCAAAAAGGAAAAGAACATTAAATGTAGGCTTTGATCAAAGTTCTCATTCTAAAGTATTGAACAATCCTAATGGGAGATCCCCCAAAGAATCTCCTAGTCACTTTATAAATAATTCTCAGACCCAAAGAGATTTAAATCAGGCTATATTAATGCTCAATCAAGATCACAAGGATTTGGTTATGACATTTATTGGTGAATTGATTAATAAAAATTATACTTCTCCTAAGGATCATGGTGGATTAAATGTAGAGATTGGTAATCATAAAAACAAAAGTGTATCACATAATGCTATAAGTACTAGTCAGGAACGAGGAGGGATGGAGGTATCTGGGTCTGAGGACTCAGAATACTAATTTCCCTCTCGTCTTGACCTGGTACATACATGTTTTTAACAATTTATATTTTCAATCATCACGCCCCACTAACTATTATACAATGGAATATAAGATCTTATAATACCAATGTTGATAACTTAAAAGTCCTTATTAAAGACTATAACCCTGATATTGTCCTCATTAGTGAGTCTTGGCTCTCTAACCAACATACAATTAGATGCAGAGGGTATCACATTATCAGAAAGGATCGAGGTGATGGATATGGGGGCTTAATTACCCTTATCAAATACAATATAGATTTTCGGGATATTCATATTAACAATCCTGGTTTTAATTCAGATGTTCAATTTCAACTCACCTTTTTACCCAAGTATAATTTAAATATATTAAATATATATTGTCCTTTGGACAATCTCATTTCCAAAAAATGCTGGTCTTCTTTGGTCAACTCGATTAACAAACCTCTACTGATCATGGGTGATTTAAATTGTAATCATAGAGCATGGGGAAGCTCAAGAGATAGTGTTAATGGCAGAAATATTTTGCAAACTGCAGAAGATCTTAAGTTAATTTTTCTTAATGATGGTTCTCCAACAAGATTGGTTCGTCCTGGTAGCAGCAAATCAGTAGTTGACTTATCATTGGCTTCGATAGATGTGGCACCCAAAATTAGTGGATGGACCACCATTCCAGATACAGGATCTAGTGATCATTTTCCCATTCTATGCTATGTCGGTATCCCAACACAGGACTTTAATCAGGTTTCTAAAAGAAGAAATTTCAAAAAGGCTGATTGGGTTTCTTTCCATGAAAAACTAGAGTGTATTTTCTCATCGTTTCCAATTGAGGACTATGAAAATTTTATCGAATATATATCATCAGTGGCAGACACATCAATTCCTTGGACCTCCTCTTATAACAACAAATATCACATTCCATGGTGGGATGATTCATGTGCTCATATAATACAAAAGAGAGTTTCAGCTATTAATACATTTAAAAATTCTCCTAGTGTTGAAAACTATATAGAGGCTAAAAAATTCATAGCGAAAGCTAGAAAATTCCTAAAATTAAAGCGAAAAATAAGCTTTAGATCCTATTGTAGCAAACTAAATAGAAATACTCCCCTTAAAGATGTTTGGAATAAAATTAACAAGGTTTCTGGTAGTAAATTGTCTCTTTTATCTCAATTGCCACCAGAGGAGGTAGCTCAGGAAATTTTAACATTTCTCTCACCTATTTCTGGCGACTTTGAATTACTTTTCAGTCCTCTGCAGTATTCTGAGAAACCCATATCATTTGATGAATATCACAATACTCTTTTTTCTAAAACTGATTCTGCTGTGGGTCCTGATCAGGTTTCATACTCTATGTTAAAAAATTTACCGCACTCTGGATCATTACTCTTAATTCAATTCTTTAATGAATGTATCCGGAAGGGACAGGTTCCTCTTTCGTGGAAACAAACGGTCATATTACCCATTGTTAAGCATGGAAAGGATAAAACTGACCCACTTAATTATAGGCCAATAGCTCTATCATCGTGTGTTGGTAAAATGCTGGAAACATTAATTAAAAACAGAATTGAGTGGTTCTTAGAACACAATCATATTTTAAATCCATTGCAACTTGGTTTTAGAAGGGGTAGAGGTTGCATGGAATGCATTTCATTACTAAATTCTAAAATACTACAAGGATTTTCATTGAATCAATTTACCGTAGGACTTTTCCTAGATATTTCAGCAGCTTATGATAGTGTCAACATCTCTCTTTTATACTCTAAACTAATTAAATATAACATTCCTATTCAACTAGCAAATGTCATTTATTCTATATTAAATGATCGTAGTATTTATGTAAAGGACCAAACTGGTCAAATTCATGGTCCAAGAAAAACTAATCAGGGTTTACCTCAAGGCTCCCCTCTAAGTCCAATATTATTTAATCTGTATTCCCTATCTTTATACGAGATTATTCCCAACGGTTGTAATCTGATACAGTATGCAGATGATTTGGTTATTTTGGTTAGTGGGGCAGATCTACTTAAATTAATTAATTCTTTGAACTTATTAATGGAAAGGATGGATCTCTGGTTATTAGAACACAACTTTAGTCTATCTTACAATAAGTCCTCAGCAATTATATTTCAAATAGGAAATCGTAAAATTAATCCTCCAAACGTAAAAATTAGAGGTCATGCAATTAAATGGGTCGATACAGTGAAATATTTAGGGGTAGTTATTCAAAAAAACCTAAAGTGGAAATCATATGTGAATTTAATAGAATTAAAAGTAAGTCGTAGCTTGAATGTAATGAGAGCTCTATGTGGAACATATTGGGGTAGTGATCCTAAAACTCTCCAGATAGTTCATAATGGTTTGATACAGAGTCATTTAGATTATGGATGTCAAATATTATCAGATTGTCCCAAGGCGCTAATCAACAGGTTAGATAAATTACAATATAAGAGTATTCGTATCATAACAGGATGTATGAGATCTACCCCTATTTATGCATTGTTAGGTGAAAGTGGTCAAATTCCTCTCAAGTACAGATGGGAATGGCTTAATTCTAAATTCCTCCTAAAAAATCTGATGCTAATTAACAACCCAATAATTTCTGCCTTGAATGGATTACAGATATCAATGCAATCAAATCCTAATTACTGGAATAAAAAAAGTATTCCCCTCTTAGTTTCCATCATGAATAAATTCCAATATACCCCAAATTTATTTTCTAGCGACTTATTTCCGTGTCACAATTTTGAATTAGAATATCAATTAACTTCTATCCCTATTAGGAATGTGCAATCTAATAAAAGTGATGAACATGCATTAATTCAATTTCAAAGAATCTCACTTGACAATCCACTTCA